ATGATGTTCTACTGTTTTGGTAAAAGTTATTTTTCTTTCTTTCTTTCTTTCTTTCTTTCTTTCTTTCTTTCTTTTTTTTTTTTTTGAGTTCAAAATACTAGTTTATTGTTTCATTGAGAAAAGAGTAAAATGTAACCTCACTTATATTTAGTTTTACCTGTTGATAAACACAATTATATCTAGGACAAAATGTTTTCTTCTTCTCACATAGATATCAACTACTAAGTGACTGATGTCAAAGTAGATGAAGCAGCATTACACCCAAATTTTCTTTTACTACAATACATGTATGTTATGATATTTTATATTATTTCTATATCATACAATCTATTCTCTTTCAGGTTTTAAAATTATTCAAAATTAGGCAGATTGAAGAATTAAACCATAAAGAAAGATCAAACCATTATTCAAAAACAGTCCCAGAATAGAAAAAAAATCATCCCACATCACCGCATTTGTGAGCTTAAAATGCGTGCACTTTTAGTATGGCTCCATTCATTTTCTTTGGTGACACAGAGTTATTTGCCTCCCTTCTCTTCAATTATGAATTTTATTAACAGTATGTTTGTCCCAAATATGTACAGAAGAAAAAAAGAATATTTAAAACCCATAATCCTCAATCTCAATTCACCTTAGTAATGGATAAACAGAAGATATTAAACTATGTGCAGTATGAATAAATAATGCACTGAACTTTATTTCAGAAAATAAATGCTGGGAGAAAGAAGGATACTTCTTGTGCTTCTAATGGGCTATCAAAATATTTCCCACCTTACTGAAATAAAAAGTCAATGTTAACTACATTACTTGTATGGGCTCCTGGATATAAGCAGCACCAGCAATTTATTACAATTCCCAAAATTCTCTATTTAATATTTTGAAGCACCTATAATTCTCCCATAACAAAAGAGACTACAATGAGATGTTAGCAATACAATCCATTTCCCTGCACTTTGAACATACTAAGTTCCTAGACAGTTTTAGCAGACAGGTCATAAGTTTGGCAGTTTCCACCTTGGCAAAAGCTTTGTATGTTAAAAGCAAAAATGTCTTTCTAAGTAGAAGGTTCTACTTAACAAACTAAAGAAACAAATAAATGCCCTTTCTCCTGTGAATAGCACTTCAATGTGAAATTCATTAACATAAACATATGATAGGCAAAGATTAAATCAAGAAAAAGAGAAAAGAAGATTAAAGAAATTGGCATTTTCTGAGAGTAGTGAAAGGCCATAGTCACATGAATTGCCTTTATATCCTTTCACTCTCATATCCTTGGTTAATGGTAATTTTTTCTTTCTTATTTCTTCACACAGCTTGGCCATGTAAACCCACCACAGAGAGGTGACACAATGATATAGATGAACACCTGGAAGGAGAAAGAAAGGAAATTTACTTACATGACTCTATTACAAGGTTCACAGAACTAATTAAAGAAACACTACCAGTACTAGGAGAGTAATAGGTCTTCAATAATATAACCAATAGTGAAACTATATAAAAGATAAGTATTATGAAGACAGATTTTATTATTTTCTTTTAAAAAATGTTGGCGTATAAAATATGGTGGCATGCAGTTTCACAGTTCTATAAACTATGAAACAAGTATATGTACACACTACGCTTCTTCAATTTTGACTGGATCAATGAAAAACATATCACATAGCTAACAAATGTTAGTTGAATAGATGAAACCACATATTAATTCCTATATGATTCTGTTAATAGACTGAACTGGTTGAAAATTTTATATACTAAGTGTGTCTCTGTGTGTATATGGGTATGCACACCTTTCAGTGTCTATGCAGAGGTCAGAGAACCATCAGTGTCCTCCTTTACTGTTTTCCTATTTATTTTTTGAGACCAAGTTTCTCACTGACTATGAAGGTCACATTTTCAACTAGGTTGTGTTACTAAACAAGCTCCCAGGATCACACATGCTGGGGTGACAGGCATCCATGGCTATGTCTATGCTTTTAGGTAGGCGTTGGAGATTTGGATTTAGGTTGCAAGAGTCATCTTTTCAACCTGAATTTTATTTATATCATTATTCACAAAAACTCTCAACAGAAAAAAAAGAGTTTAAGTGAAGGGCGATATTTAATGCTGATTTCACAAGAAAAGATATTTCCTGGTCATGTATTTTACAATTAAAAGATGAATGTAGGGCTGAAGAGATGGCTCAGCAGTTAAGAGCAGTGACTACTCTTTCAGTGGTCCTGAGTTCAATTCCCAGCAACCATATGGTGGCTCACAACCATCTGTAATGGAATCTGATTCCCTCTTCTGTTATGTCTGAAGACAACTACAGTGTACTCATATATGTAACATCAATCAATCAATCAATCATTAAAAAATGATGAATGTAGCTCAACTGGAGTGATAATCATCAATAAAGAATCCCAGCACCCAATTTCTTAAAGAGTCAAAAATAAGCTCATATACTAAAGAGAGAAAAACTTACAATTGATACAATGATGATGATGATAGTGAGCTTGATATTCTTCATACACATGGCTCGAGCAAGATTTCTGCTGGTAGTTTTGAAAGTGACAGACTAGAAAACAATCATCAGTTGTTTTATTCTTCACACTGACTATATGAATGATTTGTAGTAACAACCTGTAAGTTTTTATTTTAATCAATTCTCTCACTTTTATGGATGAAACCCAGGGCTCCAGATCATAACAGATAAGAAATATAGAGAGACTATCTTGTGCCATGTACTGTAAAAGTGTGCCATGTACTGCAAAAGCATTTACCTGTGAATAAAAAATAATAAAAAAAAAACCTTTGGCCAATGAACTGAGGCAGGAAACAGGAGGTGAGAGTTGAAAGGGGGGAGAGGAGGGAGGGAAAGAGAGATATATATGAGGCACAAGGGAGATTCACTTGAACAGAGAGAAAGACAGTTGCTAAAACCTGAGGAGAACAAGGAACTATACTACTGAGCCAGAGTCTAAGCCCTATTTTCATTAGTTCTGTTTAAATTCAAATGTCTTTTTCCCTTCCTTCTCTTTTCAAGTAGAGACTGGTCATTCAGAATCAGTAGTTACCCAGAGCTGAGTTCTTTGAAAGCAATAATAAGCAATAGGAACTCACTGACAAGGCTTCACTTCGTTTCCTTCTCTTTGTAGAAATGCAGTGTTGAATGAACAAGTGATTTTTTTAAGAGGGAAAATATTTTCTATTTTAAATTTTTAATAAGAAACTCTTATTCTAAACCAATTGACTACAAGCATATTAACTGATTCTATACAGCATGATCTTTGGGCTTTGAACCATACATATAGATGTTTGATTTTCCTAGGAACAAATGTATTTACTTGTCAAAACCCAATAGGGTCACATTCCTTCAGTTATCCATTTTCTTTTTAATCATCACTTTTTCAGTGAGTAAAGCATTTTCACCAAGACATAAGAAGTTTAAAACAGGGCTGGTGAGATGGCTCAGTGGTTAAGAGCACTGACTGGTCTTCCAGAGGTCATGAGTTTAAATTCCAGCAACCACATGGTGGCTCACAACCATCCATAACGAGATCTGATGCCCTCTTATGGGGTGTCTGAAGACAGCTACAGTGTATTTACATACAATAAATAAATTTAAAAAAAGAACAAATCTTTAAAAAAAAAAGAAGTTTAAAACAAATAGGTAAACAAATAATGATATGTACTAATTACCTAGCTATTTTACTCCTAGGTATATTGTACAAAAGATACTATGTGAAAGCTCAAAAGAGCCATATAAAAATGTTTTGACTATTTTTTTCATATCTAAAAGTAGAAACTACCAAAATATCCATAAACCATAATGAATTATTATATAATAATCAAACAATTTATTACTATATTTACACAGTCAATGGATTAGTGTCATGGATTAGTGTCACAATTTTGACAGAAAGAAAAATAGAGTAAATGTTACAGCTTCTTCTTATAACTTTTGTAGACAAGACATGGTGGTTTGAATATGCTTGGCCCTTGGGAAGTGGCACTATTAGGAGATACGGCCTTGTTGGAGGAAGTGTGTCACTGTGTAGGAAGGCTTTGAGGTTTCCTAATGCTCAAGCTCTGCCCAGTGCAGAAGAGAGACTCTTCTTGGCTGCCTGTAGAAGACAGTCTCCTTCTGCCTGTCTTCAGATCAAGTTGTAGAACTCTCAGCTCCTTAGCACCATGTCTTTCTGGATGGTGCCATGTTTCTTTCCATGATGATAATGGAATGAACCTCTTAAACGATAAGCCAGCCCCAGTTAAACATTGTTCTTTATAAATGTTGCCTCAGTCACGGTGTCTCTTCACAGCAATGAAACTGTAACTCAGATAGAAGTGGTACTAGGAACTGGGGTATTGCTGTAATAGGCCTGACTATGTTTTTGCTTGGAGGAATGTGAATTTGGAAAGAAGTGGAATGCTTTAAGTGGGGGGTCAGTGGGCCATCCTAGTAGGAACATGGAAGATAGTGGTGCTGAGGGTGATTAGAACTTTGGAGGCCTGGCTCAAGAGGTTTCAGAGAAGATTTTAGTATGTTCCCTAGAGATCATTCTTGTGATATTTTGGTGAAGAATGTGGCCGTTTTATGCCCTTGTCCCAAGAGTCTGACTGAAGCTAAGGTAAAAGGTTTTGATTAATTGGATTGACAAAAGAAGTCTCAAAAAACCCTAGTTTAGAATTTGTCCTTGTGGTTCACCCTTATGAGGAGCATTTTGTTCAAGTGTACCAAGGTTAGAAAGGAAAAATACAAAATGCATGATTCAAAGATTAAAGAGGCACCAGGAAGTGAGATGGAGCTAAATCCTGTGTTCAAGGATATTAAATGGAAATAAGGAAGTGGTGACCTCAGGGTGAGATATCACTCAGCTAAGTTTATTATTTTTGGGTTTGTAGTTGACCAAGGGATAGTTATATCATGTTAGGGATTACTGACCTGGTTATTGTTTTCATTTGGACATAAGGAGATATGATTGTGTATCAAATTGATAAGGGATGGACTGTGATGGCTATTCTTGGTTGTCAGCTTGACAATATCTGGAACAAACTACAATCCAGAACTTATAAAGATCTTGTGAAGATGATTTAAAGAAAAGCTTAGATCTAGACATGGTAGTACATCGCTTTAATCCCAGCACTCAAGGGACAGAGGCATGCAGATCTGTGAGTACAAGGTCAAACTACAAAGCAAGTTCCACGACAGCCAAGCTTAGATAGTGAAGGAAATCATCAAAAACAAACAAACAAAAAAACTGATGAAGATGTAATAGAACAAGGGGGCCAAGTTCAAGCCCAATCAAGCAGCAGAACTTGGCAGCTTCAGCCATTGGCAGCTTCAGCCATGTGGCTCTGGCTTTAGAGTGAAAAACCGAAGGAGATACCTGGACAATTGATGCTGATTAGCTAGAGCTAAGAAATTAGTGGTGATTAAGAGACCAGCATCACTGAGGTGAAATCTTCTGGGAACTGTTTTCTGAGAGCACAAAGAAGTATTCCAGGCATAGCCAAGATTGTACCTCCTGCAGCAGTTGCACTTGGTAATGTGTAAGAGTCACCCAGGTGGTACTGGTTTTGAAGGCATGAAGGGGTCATGGAGAGCAGCCGAGGCTTGGCACTCAGAGGCCAGGAAAAGACATTGGAGAAGGTGCAGCTTCAGTTGCAGTTGATGGCCCAGGACTGAAGGCATCATGCAAAGGAGCTGAGGCTTGGAACCATGAAGAGTGCCTATGAGAGGCTATTGGTGAAGCCTAGTTGCAGCAGAAGACCTCAGTGTATTAGAGATGCCAGTACTATGGGGTGACCACCAAGAACAGCAGAGGCAGTGTAGTGGATCAACCTGAGCTTAGAATGCTACAGAGGGCAGAGCTAGAGAAGTGGCTCAAACACTTTGGAGAAGCTCAGACAATCATGTGTGTATCTCAGACACTGGAGCAAGAAACTGTGAAGCTGAAGTTGCCTTGGAGACGCCAAGATGTTAGGGAAGCCAGAGACATGGAATATCTGTCAAGGAAAGCTGCTAACAGGGGGTGGAACCAGCCCAAGAGAAAGAATTGTGTTGCAGTCAACAAAACTGAAAGGAGTTGGACATCAGGTATGGAGACGCAGAGTTTGAAGTTTGCCCAGCCTGTTTTTGGTTTTGCTTTGGTCAAGTTATTTCCGAACTATGACATTTTGGAATACTAATGTATATCCTGTGATAATGGAAGTATGTGAGCTGCTTTTTGATTTTAGTTGTATAGGGGATTACAGTTAAGAGACTACATAAATCTCAGAAGATACTTTAGACTTTTAAACATTGTTGAGACTGTGATTGACTATTAGGACTTTTGAAGTTAGATTAAATGTATTTTGTATTATGCTATGGATAGGTATGGCCCCCATAGACACATGCTTGAACAAGCCTATGGGGACCAGGAAGTGGAATGTGGTGATTTGAATATGTTTGGCCCATGGGAAGTGTCACTATTTGGAGGTATGGCCTTGTTAGAATAGGTGTGGCCTTGTTGGAGGAAGTGTATCATTGTGTAGGCAGGGTTTGAGCTCTCCTAGTTCTCAAGCTCCACCCAAGTGCAGAAGAGAGGCTTTTCCTGGCTGCCTGTGAAAGACAATCTCTGGCCGGGCGGTGGTGGCGCACGCCTTTAATCCCAGCACTTGGGAGGCAGAGGCAGGCAGATTTCTGAGTTTGAGGCCAGCCTGGCCTACAGAGTGAGTTCCAGGACAGCCCGGGCTATAAAGAGAAACCCTGTCTTGAAAAAAAAAAACAAAAAAACAAAAAAATAAAAAGAAACACAATATCCTTCTGCCTGCCTTCCGATCAAGATGTATTTCATTGGTATAGGATTATGCACAAGTAACATTCTTCACTGTTAAGAAGTTGCAGGATACCAGGTTATTGGATATGCTTTTCTATACTATTATTAAAATGTTTATAGAGAAAAATAATTTTGTAATGTTTAAAATGGTGGTCTGTTCAGCTACCCATCTGAAGAAGTTAGGTACAAGCATGCAAGTAAATCCAAAGGTACAGAGGACCCATGTTAACAACAGTAGGTAGCTATGATGCAACACCAACAATGCTCAAATATTACCTTAATTATTTCAAAAAGACTGAAGCAAATTGCTAGTATTATTGAACTATTAAACATTAAAGTAGCATGTTCTAGCTTATCTAAATTTTAAACTGTTAAGAAAAATATTAAAGTATTTCCTCTTTTTAAATTACACAGATGTTTAATTAACTTTATTTACAGAGTAGGGATCCTCCCTTCCCCCTAGATTCTAGTGGTACCTAATAACACCCTTGGGCAAGAATGCTAGTTTAAAAATAATTGTGCAGGATCCGAAGAATAACAGATATTTGTATTCATTAAAAAAAGCAAATGTGGCTAGTAGCATCTCTCAGTCTCAGTTACTCAAAAGTAATTTTATTACAGTCCCTATATAACATGATTTTGAAGACACGGCTACTATTACTGCATTCCTACCAAATCCCACAGCACACAGTTTTGTTTTGATTTTTGTTTTGATTTTGTGTGTGTGTGTGTGTGTGTGTGTGTGTGTGTGTGTATGTATGTATCCTGCACTAGAAAATGGTTTTCCATCATACATATATGTTCAAAGTTAAGCTGTTTGCACATTTCCTGATTTTGTTTGTGCTGATTTGCTACTATTACATCTTGTGGATCATCTGGTTCTACAGTTGTCAACAGTGCTTGGAATGACAACAGCATGCAGAAAGTCATTGCTACCATCCATTGTTTTTTCAGGATATACAAACATGTATCCCCTCTGACAGAACTAATAATTAGGATGTCATATTTTAGTGATAAACCAGACTTTAGTAAGGTTAAAAGGATGTGGCTCCTTGAATAAGAAATGTCCCCAATGGGATCTGGCATTTGCACACAAAGTTCCCAGTTAGTGACACTGCTTAGGGGTGTTTGGGAGTTGAGGCATTGCTGGAGGAAGTATTTCACTGGGGGTAAACTTTGAAAGTATACAGTCTCAGTCTAGACTTCCAGTTCTCTGTTTCACAATATAATCTGTTTCCTGCTCCTGCCACCACGACATGTTTGTTATCATGCCTCTTCATCATAATGGACTCTTTACCACTCTAGAACCATAAGCAAAAATAAATTGCTTCATCCAAAAAGATGATGATTTTGATAAGGGCATTTTATCACAGCAATAGAAACGTAGCTAATAAAATGGAAATGTTTCCAGTATTTTAATCTCTACTTGGTATCTTACTCCTCATATGGTGTGTCTTTTTTATTGCTGTGAAGAGACACCATGACATCCTCCACCATTTCTATCACCACCACCACCACCACCACCACCACCACCACCACCACCACCACCACCACCTCCACACGAATATGACTACTGCTACCCATGCTAACACATTTCCCATCAATGTTGGAATCCCCACCACATCCCGCCACCTAAATCTCTAAATGGATCTAAAGCTGGCTCCACAAGACACAACTCATGCCTAGTATGTTAAGTAGGCCCCAAATCCCACAGATGGTTAGGTCAGAGGCATGAGAGGGTGACCTAATACTATTCTGAAAAATGGCTATAAATAATAAATTGCCCCTAAGTTCTCTTTATATTAGTGCATCTCCCAACCCATACAAGAGAAGCTTCTTTTTACAAAAGACTGTGATTAATATACTGACATATAAACTGGTTAACATGCAGATAATAACAGAGTGTGGACTGCCTATCTCTAAATGGGACATCAATATCATACTTTCTCTTCCATAAGTCTCAGGAAGCATCATGGATGAGGGGGTAAAAAGATTCTAAGAGCCAAACATATTGGACATCTGCAACAAAACTCTTCTGGTCAGACATGACAGAGCTGTTGAATGCATGGATTCTCAGAAGCTGTGAGTACATTTAAAAGATTAAGGCAGCCAAAATCCAAGCATGGATGGGGGATGGGGGAGGAGCTCATGAAATTCCACACTCAAATAAAGACCTATCGTCAACTGATGGCAGTTAGGGGAGGAAGAGTCAGTTTTCTTTAGAGATGTCATCCATAAGAGGTTGCCTATGCTCCTGTAGACTGTCCTACACCAATGCACATACAGGTAGCACTAAATGAACTCAGCACACAAAGTTGGGAGAGAAACATGTGAAAAATAGGGGATGAAATTTCAGGGATGGAAAGTGGGGTAGCACTGATCAAAATGAATTATAAGTGTATATGAAATTTTATCATTGAGAGGCCCACTCTTTTCTGAAGGGAAGTGGAGAAGGAGTGGATCTGGGGGAGAGGGGAGGTGTGTGGGGAGGAACTGGAAGGAGAGGAGGGAGGGGAAACTACAGTCAGGATACAATATATGAAAGAAGAACAAATAAATAATAAAAGAAAACTTTAAAAATATAAAAATTAAAAATCTTTATATAATTCTTCTAATTACCACATATTTGATGAAAAGCTTATAAAATGACACAAAACCCAAGGTTGTAGGAGGTTGTCAACTTCCTACAATCTGCCATTAACAGATAATATTAAAATTAACAAGTTCAAATACCTGTTAGAGCATAACATGTATCATGTCAAGCATTTTACATATAATTTAATTCTCAGAACTCAATGAAAAAAGTATATTGCCATTTTATAGATTATGACAATTGAGGTAGAAAGAGGTTAAGTAATGTGCTTAAGGTCATACTACTAGAAAATGGTATTAAAATCCAAACAGTCTGATTCTAAAGTTAAGGCTCTTAATTGCTACAGTCTTGTTGCTAGTCACAATCAACATGATTATGATACTATATAGTCATTGTGATATTTACAGTATAATCACCTTGGAGATATATATGCATGTCTGTGATAAATTATCTAAAGTTAATTAAGTAGGAAGATCCACCTTAAATATGGGCAGCATCATTCCCTGACCTGGAGTTCTGGACTGAATAAAGAAAAGAAAGCAAGCTAAGAGTCTGCATTCATTGCTTTCTGCCTTCTGAATATGAGGCACAATATGATCAGCTGCTTCCTCAAGATTTTACTTATAGAACTAAACCTCCACATTGTGAGCAAAAAAAAAAACCCCTATTCTTTAAGTTCCTTTTATCAAGTATTTTGTCACAACAATGAAGAATAATTAATACCATGATTATTCAATCACGAATTGCTTTTAATGTGTAAAATTTAAATCTGTTAAAGATCTCCACATATTTATTTTTTCAAAACACTTTTACAATGAACTACATAGAAAATGTAAAGAAATATGTGAGAGTAGAAAAAAGTAATTAATGGTACATTTCAACCTATGTCTTTGGCTTGATATAAGGAAAAGATCAAGGTAACACAGTGAGTCATACCCAGCCAAAACTTCAGCAGAGGTACATAAGGTGATGAATTATCAATTGAAAAACTTTGGTTTAAAAAAAAAAGAAAAACTTTGGTTCAATGTAAAGTTTTAGGAAATTATTTCTGTATAATGAATATATTTTTATTAAAAAAACTTCATTAATGGCTACTGAGAGACTGGTTGTTTTGTATATCTCACTGATACCTTTCTTATCATAATATGATGATGACATAGATGTGAGAAAGGAATCAGAGAAACAAACCACCTTAGTATAAAATTTAAGACCAGGGGCTGGAGAGATGGCTCACAACTATCTGTAATGGGATCTGTATGCTCTCTTCTGGTGTCTGAAGACAGTGACAGCGTACTAACATACATGAAATAAAGAAATCTTTAAAATTTAAGACCATTCTCATATTATCTTAACCATCAGTGCAATTATTCTAATACCGTGGGAAAAATATATTCCATACTTACTGAATCCACAAGGTTTTCTGTTTTATCTATCAGCAATTCCAACCTTTCTCCACGTTGAGCAACCAAATCTATGTTTCTGACCATTATTCCTTTCAGTTCATCCACTTGTGCTTGAGTCTCCATCACTCTGTCTAGGCTCTTACTATCGGAGTGATGCTTCAATTGTGCAGCCAATACACTCGAAAACTCACTATTCATGGCATATGGAAGTGCAGTCTGTGCTCTTGAACCATAAGTAGTCTGGAACCTCTTCTTTACTTCATTCAAAAAACTGAAGGCTCGAGAACGTTCAAAATCATCATCAGTGATACAAAGATACACAATCCTGTCTTGGCAGATGTAATGAAACAAATAATTGCCATGTGAGTAAGTTAGTTTATTATTTTCAGAAGGTATCTTAGCCAGAATCTGCTCTGTCACCTCCAGGAAGTTTCCTCCACACCAAGCATGTTTGGCAAGGATAGTGGTTCCCCTGGCAACAACAGCAAAAAGAATGGCCATGACTTCAATCTGACCGGGTACCCTCTGGCGGGCACTAGGGTTCTTGACTGAGGGGCGCAGGTCTTCCTAGGGTTGCCCACTGCCTGAAACAAGAGACGGATAGGACCTGACGCCGCAAGCTTCCGTGTAAAGCGCCCCGCCTACGCGTGGCCTCCTGGGAACGTGAGCTCTCCTCCAATGGGAGCCGGCTAGAGGATGTTCCCAACCCTCGGCACTTCTCAGAACCCGAACTGCACTCTGGGAGTAGTAGTTCTGAGTATAATGGTGCCACGTCTGCGTTAGGGTCGGGTTAACAACTCAATGAACATCGAACGCTGTTCTATAATTCCAGGAAACGAGAAGATGCAAGACAACACAAGTAGTCTATCAGTATAACCACCAGAATAAATGAGGAGTTGGGCTTCTCCCGCTATCTCCACATTGATTCTCAGCAGATAATGTCGCCTATTCATAGACAAAACAGAATGTCTCTGATAGGAACCCTCTGTGCTTTCGCTATGAAAAAAATTAACTTCATTGTATACCTCACCGATCATTTCTCCCATGCTTTGGCACAAAAAATAACAGCAGCAAATCAACAACAGCAAGCGACAGCAGCTACTTTCCTGTGATTTGAGTCTGCTACGGTATATCCTTTTCCTCCTTTCTCATCACCACCTCCCCCCAACCCCTCAAACTCCCTCCTTCCTGGCTCTGTTTCCCAACATTTAGAGACCATGGAGTTTTCTCTTATGTAAAACATTCCAGAGTCACCCTTTTCAACCCCACACTTCCAGCCTCTTCAACACACACAGACTTGAAATTCTCAGCAACGTCGCTATGAAAATTACTTTATAGCCATTGCTTCATTCATCAGATTTGCCTCCCACCTCTATGCCAGCTCATTTACTTCTGTAGTGTTCACACTGCATAGGCCGTTGCCCTGCACTTTGTTTTCTTGGTGATATCAGCTATCCCCAATGCATTGTTGTCATCCATATGTTGATAATCCTCATGTATTTAGGAAGCACAGACAATACTCTTGAAACCCAGTGTTAACCGGATATCTTGAGTCTTAATCTTAATAATAGTTCCCAATCTACCTAATAGATTTCTACTTTCTCTGTTCAATAACCTGTTTGTCTCAGCGAATGGCACATCCATTCAGTTGACCGATCCAGAATGCTAGGTGTGATTTTGAATACATATATTTTCTCAAAGCTCATAGCTACACAATAAGTAATCTATTTTCTAACTACTTAATACTTCATTTCACACAGCCTCATATTTTTCAACCCTTTTCAAGGATATGTTTACTGAGCAATACTAAGCGAAAGATAACATCACCTACAGTGTTTCATTGGAAATACAAGATCTCCATTATTTGTCTTTTCTTTACCCTTTTTCTTCTCTAGATTGTATTGTAGAGCATGCACAAAACATACACAAACTCAGCCCAGCACTGAATTAAGGGTGAGTAGATACAAAGACCCATCCCTAAATCCGGAAGCTGTTTGTGACTGATACCTGCTGAGAAAGGGAAAAATCAGTTTTCTTCAATGGAACATGAACCATACCAGACTAAAGGTAAAGGTGTGGGAAGCCCTTGGGGCTGCTTGGCAGGAATCTGACATTGGCCAAGGACAAGGAAATGGGCTTTAGACAAGAATCTGACTTTGGGCCATGACAAGGAAGTAAGTTCAGGCAGGAGTCTATTTTTAGGCTAAAACAGAGAAGTAAATTCAGTCAGGAATCCAAGTCTTAGGCTAAAACAAAGAAGTAAGCCTCAGGCATGAATATGACTGTGGGCTAGGACAGGGAAGTAGGCTCAGATACTTTGTCAAGTCATCCGGGTGAGCCCTTAGAAACAGCGAACATGAGAGTGATCACCGGGTGATCAAGGGACTCTGCATATTGCTTTGTTTGTTCCTTGACTGTTTGTTTCTATTGCAATGTTGGTTCCTCAAACCTAGAACTGACCTAAATACTTGCATGTAATTAAAAGGGTTTAAAAGAAAAGTTGAATTAAACGAACCTGCCTTCAGCCTCAGAACTGGCTGGGGTCACGCTGCAATTTTGTCTAACCGTCTCTTTTCTTTTAATCCTCACTCCTGTTGGCTGACTGAGTGGGCTTGGTCATAAAGGGCTTGGAAGCACAATATGGAGTCACTGGTATGCATCCACACTGAAAACTAAAGAAGCTGGAGTCTAATTTCCACAATCACTACTCAATAAAAATGAAGCAAAATGAGACAGCACACAAGAATTATTCTTGCATTTTCTATATTAGTTTTGGAAAGGGAAGAACAAAAATAGATGAAGAAAGAGTGTTTGAATAAAGATAGTGAAGACCTCCACAGAGGGGAGACCCTCACTCAAGTCTCAGAAAGTCGCGGCCACCCAGTAATCTGCTTGAGACACCATGTACCAGAGCAATAGCGAGGTTTATTAGGGCGTGACAACTAGCTGCCGGTCAATTCGTATGCCCACGCAGGAGCGGAATTGACCCCGACAGCCAGTTTGAGATGGATTTTTAAAGGGAAAAACCACAAACCAAGGAATAGGGAGGGGGTGAGGGGTTGCTAGGGTGGTATAACATAAAAATAGTGGAACATTCCAAAGGAACCCAACCTACGGGAGTCAGGGTCAGGTGAAAACTCTCTGTACGCTTATCTTTCTCAAGAATGTGGTCCTGCTCTGTTACTTCAGCCTTGCCCTGTCACTTCGGTTCTCAGCTTGGTTCCCAGCTTGGTTCCACCTAGTTCACTTGTATTCTTTCCTTTCTCTTTGCGGATAGGCCAGTTCCAGTAATGGTGACTGGTCTTTCCACATTCCTAACTTGCTTCATGCCTCGGTTTTTCCATGTCTTTATAAAGAAAGCCTAAAGAATATTTTATATGTCTAAAAAGAATTCTATATACCCAGTATCTATAATTTTTCACTCTACAATAGCAATAAAATTTAAAACTTTTTTAAAATTTTTTTCGAGACAGGGTTTCTTTGTATAGCCTTGGCTGTCCTGGAACTCACTCTGTAGACCAGGCTGGCCTCGAACTCAGAAACCCGCCTGCCTCTGCCTCCCAAGTGCTGGGATTAAAGCCGTGCGCCACCACCACCCGGCTAATTTAAAACTTTTATATAAAACTTTTAAAATATTTTGGTGGCCCTTATATACTTGCTCTTTTATATGACAGGTTGAAGCTAGAATAGGAAGGACTCTTGATGTCTGCTTGCCTCTGAGTGTGTTAGTATTTTATTAAGTTTATATGAATTATTATTCTTAATTTTTATTTCACCGAATAAATGAAATCAATTTTTAGAATTCTGGTTGAAGTAGCCCTGACCATATTAGGAATGTGAGTTTTATTGACTTAAGGATGAGTAATAAACTGATATTTCCTTGAAAACCTGTGATGTTTTAAAATGATGTAGGGAGATGTGGGGGGGATTATAGGAAGTAACAGAGACCTAGGATGGGGGGAAGATACCTGGGAGTATCAGAGTATCGACTCTAGCCAAGACTCCTAGCTTTGGGGAATATGGATCCTGAAGTGGTCACTTTTTGTAGCCAGGCAGGGCTCCCATTGGAGAGAAAAGAACAGAAACCTATCCACAAAACCTTTGACTCAAAATTTATCCTGCCTACAAGATGTGCAGGGACAAAAATAGAGCAAAGACTGAGGGAATGGCCAGTCAATGACTTGAAAACCACCCCATGGGCAAGAACCAATTCCTGACACTATTAATGATATTCTGTTATGCTTGCAGACAAGAACTATATAGCAGAATTGTCCTCTGAGAGGCTCCACCCAGCAGCCAATGGAAACAGATGCAAAGACCCACAGCCACACATTAGATGGAGCTCTGGAGTCTTGTGGAAGAGTTGAGGAAAGGACTTAGGGACAGGAAGACAACAGAGTCAACTAAGCTGGACCCTTGGAGGATCCCAGAGACTGAACTGAAGACCTCCACAGAGGGGAGACCCTCACTCAAGTCTCAGAAAGTCGAGACCACCCAGTAATCTGCTCGAGACACCATGTACCAGAGCAATTGCAAGGTTTATTAGGGCGTGACAACTAGCTGCCGGTCAATTCGTATGCCCACGCAGGAGCGAAATTGACCCCGACAGCCAGTTTGAGAGGGGTTTTTAAGGGGAAAAACCACAAACCAAGGAATGGGGAGGGGAATGAGGGGTTGTTGAGGTGGCATAACATAAAAATAGTGGAACATTCCAAAGTAACCCAACCTACATGAGTCAGGATAAGGTGAAAACTCTCTGTACGCTTATCTTTCTCAAGAATGTGGTCCCGCCCTGTCACTGTGGCCTTGCCCTGTCACTGCGGTTCTCAGCTTGGTTCCCAGCTTGGTTCCACCTAGTTCACTTGCATTCTTTCCTTTCTCTTTGTAGATAGGCCAGTTCCAGTAATGGTGACTGGTCTTTCCACATTCCTAACTTGATTCATGGCTCAGTTTCTCCATGTCTTTATAAAGAAACCCTAAAGAATATTTTATATGTCTAAAAAGAATTCTATATACCCAGTATCTATAATTTTTCACTCTACAGAACCACTAACCGATGAGCGAGTATAGGCTGGACCTAGCCCCTCACCCACATATGTAGCAAATGCTCAGCTTGGTCTTCATGCAAGTCCTCCAACAACTGGAGAGGGTCCTGTCCCTGAATCTGTTGCCTACCTGTGGATCCCATTCCCCTAACTGAATCTTTTGTCACTCATGGATTCCATTTCCCTAACTGGGCTGCCTTGTCTGGCCTTAGTGGGAGAGGATGTGCCTAGTCTTGCAGAGAGTTGATGCGCCAGGGGAGTCTTCTCATTCTCAGAGAAGAAAGTGGGGATGAATTGGGGAAGGAGCTGTGTGAAGGGTGAACTGAGAGGGGAAGGGGGAGATATTGGGATGTAAAGTAAGTAAATAAATAAATTAATGAAAAAAATGAAAAAATAAAGCTACAAAGTATAGGATGGAACAAGGCATCCACTTTTAAATGCACAATTATGGCACATAGTCAGAATTTTTATGTGGGGACAATTTTGTTCTCAAGCAGACATGATTTAAGAAGTCTTAAATTCAATTTTCATTAGAAACCTGGAAGGGATAGAGACTTCATAGGAAGACCAAAAGAGTAAACCAAC